GGTGTTTCTAAAACTATCTTGATCGTTACAGTATTTCTTAAATGTCCCCTACATACAAAATTCCACTTCCATAAGGAAAACAAACACTTGCCTCACATTTGAAAATAAATGTTTCACAAAGTCTTATTATTAAATACTAAACCTGAAAAGTGGAATATTTCAAATCAGAAATAAAGCATCGTACAGTTTAATCATTTATATACTGACCCCTAACTGGTCAAGTGAGAACAGTAGGGAACAGGGGCCGTTTCAGTCTTATGTATTTATTAGTCTTTAACTATTTCCCAAACCTTAGATACCATCAAGGTATTTAACTGCCTTTCATTTACATTATGCCTCACTGGCTTTTTGCTTTCATAATGGTGCTGAATGGCACTCCAGTTGCTTGGGGCTGACCACACCTTAGCCCTAAGGGGTAATTGGTGTGAATGGTCATATATTTCTATGCATTTTGTATGCTAATGTGAGAGAGGGACTTGCACAAACAGGAGATCAAGGCAGAGGTGTCGTATTACAGGGCCAATCACATAGGCCTTTGATCACAAACTGTTCTAATAGAATAATAACTATGGTTAAAATTGCTCTTTTACTGTCATTTCTGGGCTCTATACATACAAGGTGATTTCTTACATAGACGTGTAAATATATACAGTGCCCCAGAAAAGTACTCATACCCCTGCATAGTTTTCACATTTTGTTGCCCTAAAGCTTGCAGTTGTGACTTCTGAAACAAAAAAGAAGATTGGTTATACTGGAACTGTGAGGCCAATGACAAGTCTGAAAGAGCTACAGAGTTCAATAGCCAAGAAGATGGGATGCACAGGCAATAACAAACAGAACACTTCTCAAATCCAGCCCATAATGCACGATGGCTAGAGGTTAGCCACAACTTAAAATAATAACACATGTAATTTGCAACAATGAGTATACCTGAGTGTTCCTGGTCATATATAGCAAAAGGTGTTGTGGTCAGATGAGACCAAATTGGAACTTGTTGGTCCCATTCCCAAAGTGTTACACTTTTGGCATAGATCCACTACTACAGTGCATCTCTGGACAGCTAATCATGGCGTTGGCAGCTTTGTGCTATGTGGAAGTCTCCCCTCAGCAGAGACTGGAAAACTCTTAGGACTGAAGGAAAATGGAAGCAGCAAAATAAAGGCAAACAATTGAGGAAAGTCTGTTAAAGAATTAAAACTGGGGCACAGTTCACATTTCAGATCCAAAGTTGTGCTGGAGTGAATGTATTTGAGTGGCCCAGTTTTTTAGAAACAATCACAAGCAACATGAGAACGAGCAAAAAATCACACCAATCTGTGGTGCAAAGTTGGTAGAGACTTACTCAAGACAACTTTCAGATGTAATCATTGCCAAACTAGTTATTTTTACATTTAAAATAGGTCACAGTTCTGAATACTTATGCAATCAACAGATTTAGTTTTTTTTTTATTTTTACATTTTACCCTTAGAAGTTTTCATCATGTTTGCATGTAGAATGTTTTTTTTTTCCATGTTCAGTGAACATTCATGTCTTGAATAAAATATTAGCTAAATACAGGATAAATGTCCATGAATTTCACAAAATGGGACAGCACAGTGTCAGAGTTTTAAATGATTTTATGCTTCACTACTCTTTTACAGTGTGTTGTTTCTTTCAATGCCCATACGAGGGCAGCACCAGCACATAAAATAAGTACAGCAGCTTTGTTCCAAAGCAGAACACCTGTTTCTGAGAAAGCTATTAACTAGTCTGTTCTTCCACTGTTTACTGCTTCTAGGGTAATTAGTCACTGTGTCATAAGACCTCTGCTGTCACCTCTATCATACTGGAATTTCTAACCAAAATCTGTCAACATATTGTGTAACTGCAGGAATGCCATTATTTTCATTAATACAGTAATTTAACTCATTTACCTTTGAACTCCATTTTTCAACTCAAAAGTGTGTTGATTAAGAATAACCTATTACAAAAATAAATACAAAGAAAAAATGAAAAAAGCAGTAATCCTTTAAATAGCTGCTCTATTCAATTTTTCAGTCTGCTCATGTTAATGCATAATACAGTACATCCCTTTCAAGAACCATTGAGCTCTTAAATCTGCTAGCTCCTAACATAACACCATAACTAGTGTTATGTTAGCAAATATAACTTTATATTTCACTTATCAATCTAAATAATAATACTAATAATAATAATGATGATTCCTTACGCTTTTATAGCACTTTTCTGGACACTCCATGCAAAGCAATTTACAGATAATGGGGACTCCACCACCACCAATGTGCTGCTCCCAAATGGATGATGCAACAGCAGCCACAGTGTGCTAGTACACTCACCTCACCTCAGCTATCATTGGGAAGGAGAAGAGAGTAATGAAGCCAGTTCATAGATGGGGATTATTAGGAGGCCATGATTGGTAAAGACCAATGGGAAATTTGGCCAGGATGCCGGGGTACACCCCTACTCTTTTCGAGAAACGCCCTGGGATTTTTAATGACCACAGGACCTCGGTTTTACATCACATCTGAAGGAGAGGGCCATTTTACAGTATAGTGTCACATCACCATACTGGGGCACAGACCACAGGGCGAACAATATCTCATACAGGAACTGGAAGTGATTTCAAGCAAGTCCAATGCCAACCCATTAGTGCACTAGTGTCACTTTCCATTGAGGTTATAATGATGGATGGTATGTAAAAAATGAACTAACTGCTAATGTTACACTGGTTCCACCTGTTTCCAGTAGGATTGATATCTGGAGATTGTTGTGATCTGGTAGCAGCAGATGTCTGCCTCATGCTCCTCAAAGTTAAGCATTTGTACGCTAGTATTTTGGACAGTGTGTATTGTTTCTTGTCCGTGTTTTTAATGTTTCCAGGAAAAACGGATTCTTAAAATTCCTGTTCAAAGCAGACCAGCACAGTGCAAATGATACATGAGGGTATTGAACAAGTGAATCATATAACAGCTGAGAAAACAGCAGAGTTTCAAAACATGCAATGGAGGGCAGGTGTGTGAAGCAGTGGGTGAAAGCTCTAGCCTTATAACAAGAATCTTGTGAGTACAAATGTCAGATAAGGCACTTGACCATAATACCCTTCAACACAGTACCGCACTAAGAAGAACACCATGACCCAGTGTGACAAAGTAACAAGTACTGACAGAGTTCAAAAATTTTTTTATTAGAAGAACAATACAGCAGATAAAAATATCCTCTCAATCATACAGCCTTTCAGAACTATTCATGTGCTTCAACAAGATGCACTCCCCAAAAGGAAAAGTAAGAAAAACAGCCATTTCTTCAATGTTTTTGTTTTAGTGTATAGCCACAAGAACAAGGCCTCTCTTTAACTACAGAAGTTGAAGAGGTCAAAGCACCCCTAATGAGAATGCAGTGAACACACATGCACTCAAACACAGGTTCCTGTCACAGTGATGAGCACTTTCCTGTAAGGCAAGTGAAGGGTCAGTCTAGTCCTGCTGGGATATTTCATCCACTAAATATTAACTGTTTCGAGAGTCCTGGTTTCAAAGAAAAAGTAAAAGCTAGTTCCCAGTGAAACAAAAATTGATCCAGTTTCTGCTCCTTCCCTGTTTTATTAGTAAAAATTCAACAGTTAATCTTCATCGTAAGTTCCTTGTGAGTCTTGTCTGCATTTAAAACCAGGTTCTGGAGTGAGGCTAAATGTACTGTAAACATTGTTATACTTTGGAGACATGCACATTTGACTTTTAGCACAAAAAACAGATGGTCACCATGCCCTTTAGCTAATTACAGACATTTCTGAAGAACTTAATACTGAAATACTGTATGCAGATCTGGGGACATGTCCACACAAGGAAAGGCTAAATTAAGAGAACATTAAGTCATTAGTATTACAAGGAGACAGTTAAAACTCTGAAAAATAAAGTCTATGGCTTCTGGCCATTCCACTCATTAATGTGACAGTTCAATGTATTAAGAAGCAGGTGACAAGTCTGAAGAACAGGAATACGACTGTCTGCTCCTTTGTCTCATCTTGAGCAAACAACTGGGAAAAAAAAAAAGATTCAAGACAAGACAACTGGCAGTAAGGCACACTGGGAAATATTCACTGAACGCCTGTTTCATTCTGCAATGATTAAAGTTTTCAAATTTCTAAGAAGTCCTGTCTTTGGGTTTGTTTTTTTTCTAACCCATGTATTGCATTTTCTTTATTCATTTTCATTTAAAAAAAAAGTATTCAGTGAATGTGGCCCACGGTGCATTCCCGTCTCTCAATTAACTGAACTGTTGTGAATTTCATGGTACGATTCATGTGACGATTCATGAATTATTAGTCTAGGACTTTGCTAATACCCATGAGGCTCAATGCACTTGCCAATATGTGTAAGATGGAGAAGAAGGGCATGTGGTAATCTTATAAATAAACTGGATTTGAACGCGCTCGCAATGCAATACTATGAAGATTGTTTCTTTGATACTGATCTGTAATTTATCACCATTAGCCACCCCTGCTATTGTGTTGCAAATAAAATGATGGAATAATATTTAACTTTCAACATTACAGTAAATACATTATTTGGATATCTGTGGGAGTGCTTTCATTATTCTGCACCATAACAAATACTCTTCCCACATAATCCAGCTACACTTTTTTAAATCAACTGTCAATGTTTTTAGATCACTTCATGTGTAAGAAACTGTCCCTTTGCTTCTTATGGACTTATGGACTGAATGAGAATCTACCCGACACTGACTACTCTTCAAGGAGCAAGAAACCAGAACAGAAATTCACTGCTAAGCAAGACAGTAGAGTGACAAAGAACTCTGTGGTCTCAGTTCAGAAAAGGTCAAGCTGTTGCAAGAGAAACTGGAGATAGTGAAAATAAGTGCAGACGGAGAACTGGGTCATTTGTGAAGGAGACGATGTCAAAGAATTGCACTTAGGTACCGAGACCTGCTGACTCAAGTGCATCTCTTCCCAGCAGCCATTCATACTACTTTGTCAACAACACCAGATATATCACTGGGGCACAGCTAGAGGGACAGTATGACAGGACAACCCAGCCTGCATGTCAAAGAGTGCTTTATAACTGGGCTTTATAACTTAGATATAACAACTGCAGCAAAGGGTTCCTTCTTTTGAGATGTTTAACTAAAGTCGAAAGGATGTATGTTGGAGAATATGCATCACAGTGCATTTACCATTAATCAGCCTCAGCTCTGTCCATAAACAATGAAGACAACTGAACAGCCCTTTCTTTAAAAAAAAGGAGGGATGAACATTTTTGTAATATACTACTGCTCCATGTAACCTCTTGTGTCTGTCCAAGAGTGGGTTAAAAAGTAATTTGAAACTAAATCATCCTAAAAGCAAGACCCATTATTGGCAATTAAAATTTCTATTTTTCACCAATTGCACACACCTTGACTGAAATCGACAGTCATGACTTTTGTTCGGTGCATCAACTAAGCCAAATGATTGACAAAGGAAAGAAACATCGGTGAGCAATCCACTACCAGAGATCCAGAGAAATTCTCCAACGCAGCCGAGTTTTTAAAGAGCAATTTCTTGCTGAAGTACAGTAGTTACCGGAAACCATTGTTTAGAAGAGCCTACAACCAGATAATTCAGTTTCTCACAATAACGCAATGAAAACACAAGATACAGTTGTTTTTTAAAGCATATTTTCCATCTCATCAATGAGAAAAAGCACACTGGATAATTTTTCCTTAAAGCTCATTAGAGTATTTGTCTCTACAAGACGTTAGATGACAATCACTGGAAACCAGGATGAGTGAAATAATGTGCACATATGTCCCAATTAACTCGCCGTTACAAACAGTTAATGTCTAGGTACAGGGGTACCTTAGAAGTTTTAAATCTCTTCAAAGGTAAGAATAAAGCAGGCTTCCAAAATAAGGAAATAGCTGCTGTTTAGTGCTGGCCGATTCTAAAGCAATTTTATCCAACCTCCTTCCCCATCCGAAGCCATTTTTACAATCATTGATTCAGTCGACTGCTGGAAAGTGCTTAGTCGTTCTAACTTTTTTTTTTTTTACAGAGCAGCCACAGGCAACAAGATGGTACAGACAAGACATGGCGGAAAAGGAAAGGCAGATAAAAACTGCAAAGATCAAAGCAGAAGGGATCAGCCCAGCAACGCTCCACACAGTGGTTCAGATGAGATGGGGGAAAGGGAAAGGACGGAAAGGTTCTGCTGTCTTGCCCATTAAAGCAGAATTCACAGTCAGTTGAGCTGTCCATATTGCAGAAGCGCTTAAGGGTCTGACTTATGAAGTCAGGCCTGCCACTGTGAAGAAGGACACTCTTCGCATTAAAAAGGAAACCTGTTCAAAGCTCTAAACATCAATATCTCACACCTGCCTTGGAAAACGGGCAAAGGAGAGGACTAGGGGGATTATTGTGGCAGATGCCTGTGCCACCGTGGTTAACCCTTTTGACGTTTGGCTGTATCAGAATAGGCCTTGCTTTACCCGGAAAGCATCAATTCCCACTTTCTACTAGAAAATACAGAAGAGCACAAGCCATTTTCCCTGGGAGTCAAGCTGCATTTGTCTGACTTGTAGATCCTGGAGGTGCTGCTCACTTTCCTCAGGCTCATATTGTGCTCGAGCCCATAAAAGGAGCATTCAACCCCTGGGGCTGCTGGGGAGTGTCTCCAGCCTTACAGCCCCCCGGATCTCTCTTCAACTTTGTGCAAAGTCAATTTCAACAGTATGCGTGGCACTCCAGCAAACACTTTCTTTTTTTTAAAAAAAAAAAATCTCATTTAACTCGCTTCCAATTTTTTTTGTATTTTTTTTTATATGTATATAATACAAATTTATATAAGTGAAAGTTAGAAATCTTATTTACAAGACCTTTAAAAGCAGCTACAGCCCATTTTGGAAAAAAAGAATTCACCACACGAACTTCCCAGTAACTGTGTTTTTCTTTCCATAAATAAATATGGCATTCAGTAAAATCAGAACTTTTTTTAGGCTTTTTTTTATAGTTTGCATCTATATAATTTATTATCTACATATATAATCTTTTTGGTAACCGTTCTCCCAACGGTTCAGCAAGACTTGGTGGTCAGACCTAGACCTTTTCCACCAGTGTCTTTTCCGCTTGGATGACAGACATGCTGCTCCAAATCGCTTGCTCCTTCTGACGTGGGTGCCCTCCGTCTCTGCTTCTTACAGAGCGCTGCTTTCGGTGCAGCCGCCCCCAGCAGTGTAGCGAAACTCCTGCAGGTTCGAGACGCCGTGGAAGTGGACGAAGGCGCCGGCCACCACCAGGATGTGGAACAGCTGATGGGAGTGGAACTGATGGGAGAAGATGGGGAGGGAGAGAGGAAGTGGGATGTTTAGCAGGCAGGGCAGCTCTGAAAACACAAGTGTGGTTAAAACGCCCAAACCCTGCCGAACACGTTCAATTTCGGATTCCTATAAAACCTGTCAAGGTGCATCCTCAGATAAGAACGTAATAATAAAAAACTATTTTATATAGCGCCTTTAAAGGTGGCGTCTCAAAGTGCTTTACAGAATGACAACGACAAAAAATAAAAAGAATACACAAGATAAAACACAATTAGAATATATAGAGGAGACCGTGGATGGTGGTACTAAGAAAAGCAGAGGGGTGAAGAATGGAACCAGTTAAGTAAAGGTTTTTCTAAAGAAGAGGGTTTTGAGTCTGGATTTGAAGGAGTTTCGAGAAGGTGACTCTCTGATATCCTTGGGGAGAGAGTTCCAGAGCTTGGGGGCATAACAGGATAAGGCCCTGTCATATTATATTATATTGTTATATTAACTACACACCATTCTCATTGGCTCTCCTCTGTGTTGTATACATACCTACTACATTTGACACAGTTGTGGTATTGAGACATTTATTCACAAAGCCTGGATATGCATAATCACCGCAGTATTCCACTAACGCTGGGTAACTGAAATCATGAAAAGGTCCACCCACTACAAGACTGATCCACCCACTACAACACCATGGACCCTGGAAGTTGTGACAGATTTATAGTGAGGGGCTTGTAATTATTTGTTTTAATTCACAAGAGTTTCTTGAAGACATCTTCGTATCCCTACTTGTAGTCCTGGACTTGGAAAACCACCAGCTTTGGTTTAAGCCACTTCCCCCCCACCACTTTTCCAAAAAACACAATTGGGAAAATATTTTGTAGACTCTTACAAAACACACCATTCTTAGTCATTTAAGTTCTCATATTAACAAAGGCAACAGTTTTAGCTCAAGACGAATATCCAATCAATAGAAAACAATTCACTAGAACTCATTTTTACTCTCATGAAATGCACCACACTTGCAGCCCTTGAAACAATATTCAACCTTACCACAGCCCTTTGCTTTTGTTTTCGGAAAATTCCTAATAATGGCGCACAGGTGCTAGAGCAGGATGCGAGAGCACAGTGTACATCACAGACAATATTCAGCTAGAAACGACACATTCCAGTAAGACGAATCAGGCGAAGCGGCATTTGTTATGTCTTAAAAGACTTGTAAACACTGAGAGGGCTATAAGAAACTAAATACCTCACATACCGCATTTTTGACAATGATTTTTTTTATAACACTTTCCATTGGTTTGTTTTCCATCTGCGGCAATCTTTGAGCCTTTTATTGCTTCTTTTGTAAAACACCTTTTTGGAATTACCTTGTAAAAGGCATTACTTAACCATCAATTTAAATGACTTGTATGACCAAAAACCCTGAGACTTCTCATAGTTTCTCAGCATTTGATAATGTGAACTAATCAGAGCTTAATCACTCTGAACAGCTCACCACACCTTAGTGATCCCATATTACATCTACTGTATAAGGAGTGTAGGTGGAGACAGCTTGATGTTTCCCAACCTTTAGCCACCTTCAGACACAGAGGTCAAACTAGATTCAGACATTGAAAATCAGAAATAAATAATACTGTAGACCGGAGTATTAGAGTTTGCTTGCATTATTGTGGGAATTAGTTTTTAATGCACTGTGCACCTTTCAGGAAGAGATCCACTGTGTACTTCAAGAGCTACCTGTATTTAGAGAAATGTTCTATGAAACTATATCTCAGAGACGGCAAATTTCACTTTTCACTGCCATGTACATGTTAACTCAAGTCTTTAAGAGAGTACGAGCAGGAAAGTCAAATGAAATATTTGTGCAGTAAACACAATTCTAATTTCTCCAATGACTGCCAAAACACCTTACTGCAGCAATGTCAAATTGCTGGCTCTGTTTTTTTTTTTTTCCAGAAGGAATTTCAATGTCTACCATAACTTCAACTTCAGGATTTGTGCAGGTTGGACCAAAACATAATTATGATTAATTGAATAAGTGTCATAAAAAACAAAACAAAATAGTGATGATTGATCATGTTTGTTCTTGCTAAGGTCACCCACCATAATTATGGTAAGGATAAATCAAATGGGGAATAGGCTCAGCAGTTTCATGTGGGACTACACCATGGAAAAAGAGAAGACACGGGTCATTCTGAAAAGAGTCAACTACAGCTTCTGCGAACTGAGGAAATACTCTGCATGGAAAAAGACGGCTGCTCCGTGACCCCACTGCCCTTAAGGTCCAGTATTCCCATGTGTGAAGTTTCCATCAGGAAGCTGAACTCCATCCCACTTCCTATACGACCAGCTTCTCTCCTACGGGGCAGAAGTCGGGGCACCAACCCCTGACCTAAGTCACACACTACTGCATGTGACTGGAGACCAAGCCTCGTGCCACACAACACACACATCTGGGTTCAATCTGCAGAGCCCCAAATATAGAATGTGTCTACATAATAAGACACAGATGCCGTTCTGCTTCCAGAGGGAATAATTGGAGGAGGGGTCACTGCAATATTGTAGGGGACAGGTGTTATTTTCTTCTGCCCTGCCAAAAATAGCCCAACCAGATCTCCGCTGTCCAGGCTAGGGTGCTTTGCTTATACATTTCAGTAGATATACCAAGCCACTCTCCTGCCTGGGGGATTCTTGTTCAGAGAAAAATTGTTGACCTGCTCAAAACCATTTTCCATAGCCAACTCACAGGGGGCAAAAATTCTAGGTGGACAGGATTGCATCTAAAAGACAAAGGCTGGTTGTTTTATTGCATCTTTTCCACAAACAAAACTAAGGAACTCATTGTAAATAGTTTCAGCCACTTGTGTTCGATGCCCACGAAAAAAAAAAACACTTAATCAAAACTAAAATTTTCAAAATGAACACTTTTATAGGCGAATGGAATTAAACGTCAACAAAGATACAGAATTTCACACATTTTCTGTTGGATACAAGGCAAGACTTTGACCAGGTCACACAAACACATTCACTTTACCGCTTGTTAACCTGGAATCAATATATTTCTCATTTTCCTTTTCAGTTATTGTTGACTTAACCTCATTTACCTTTAAAAGTGTTTGGCTAGAGCACTCGAGTATTAATATAAACAGGACTTAATTCAGTGGACCATAATACCATACACACTTTCGTTACCTCTGTATCAATATTAATAAAATTAGTAGTCCTATGACAAAGGCTATATAGGCCTCACTCCCAGGCACATTTGGCACTGTGCAATGCCCAAAAAGCATATGATGAAAACTTAACAAAAATTGTAAATATAACTGTGAGGTAAAAGAATCACAAAAAGAAAGTTTAAAATTACCCAGATGTCACACTTCCCAGGGAAGAACCGCTCGGGGATGCGGGCAGCATACAGGCATGCTCCAGTAATGTACAGGACAGCCATGAGGAAGAGCCAGCCCATCTGGCCCATAGTGGTGGCTCTGAAGAAGCCTTCAGAGATGACAAAATGCAGCGTGGGAACCACACCACTCAGCCCCAGGCCTACAAACACACCTGCGGGGAGACGACACACATTGCTTAACGTGCTGTGTACACACTGTAAGACACTGGTTTTGTGTTAAAGAGTTTATTTGGACTACACAACAGTTGTAAAAAATTCCCATAAAGTAGTAGGAGAATTGAGAGAGGCACGAAGCTATTGTGGTGACAATGGCAATCATGATTGTTTTGGTATGAAACAAGTCAATGTGTAATGCTGGAAAATCAAAGTATGCCAAGGCAGCATTTCCCCAGAGTATGCAAGCAGCCAATTAATATTTATAATCTATATTCAAACATTGATCCAAGTTTAAGTTTAAAGCTTCTAAATATACAACATTAAAGCCTGCATCGATAAACTAAAACAGTGGTTTATATTTCAATGTAAAATACTTTTAAACGTGAGATTTGGAAAGCATGTCCTTATAACTTTTTTACTTCAAAAAAATTAATCAGATGCAAACAAGACCAAGTGTAAAAGAAGTTGAAACCTATCAAGGGGTTTAATTTACATCATTTTACTGCCACTATATTTTAGTTGGCCATTAAAAGAGAGAATCCCTGTGCCTGGCACCAGGGCAGTTTCCTATAATTGCACCATAAATGTCAGCAGGGAACTTTAGTGCATTATCTAAATGGCCTCTATAAAAGTGCCATAAATTGATAACTTGAGATTGTTTTTCTGTGGCCAATTAACTAATCCTAGCACTAAAGCTAAGGTTCAGGTTCCAAAGAGAATTTACAAAAACAACAGCCACATCAACAAAAAACTAGATCGGCCATTTAGATTTACTTGAGAAGACTGGTTGTATCTTGCTCTGTTATCTCCAATTTAACCCTATCCCAGGGTCCTAGATAGTTTAACATCCAGACCTCCACACTTCCCTCTCAGTGCATACTCAAAGCCTTGGCAGGCATTGCTATTGCTGTGTTTAGGCAAAACAAGGGAGACAAAGACAAAAATAGTGAAGCAATATATTGCACAGCAAAAAGAAAAGTCAGATATTATTCACTCAGAAATAAATGCATGTTATTAAAAAAATAAATAAATTATATAAAATTCAAACTCTCAGTGACTGCTGTTCTTCAGGCGTGCTAGCGATTAAAATGCAGGAATGGCTGGGGACACCTCTCAAACTCACCTGCCCTCACCCCACGGTATTGGGGTGTTGCAAAGCGATCCCACTGGGACACGACAATGGCAGAGATGCCCAAGACACAGATGACAATCAGGTAGATGAAGCAGGGCTGGGGAGAACAGTAGAAGGAGTAGTACAGCCAGGGAACAAAGCTGCCCATGATCAAGAAGGCAATGCCCGAGTAATCCAACCTGTAAAACAGACAGAATTGGTCAAGTCACCAAGTGACTGAAGCATCTAAGAAATTAGTCCACATTAGTTGACTGATCCAACCCACCATTTACAAAGGCGCTCTCAAACTATATGCAGTGTAGATAGCACTAATAACTACATTTAATAAACCTTTTTGGCAAACATTATTTTGGATATTTTAAAAACAAAAGCATGGGCCTACACAATCAGTGCATATGGATGTACTACAGACATGGTTTAAAGTCAATGCACAAAAGATGCTTAGGAAAATACCATCAGATTAATGACGGAATGGCTCCTCATATCCTACAACCCAATCACCATACGTCATCTATGCAGAGCCACTTACTTGGAGAACATGCGTGACACCCCTTCCGAGTGGCAGTACACAGTGTGGAACAGCCAAGAGAAGGAAAGGCAGAGAATGGCGCCCAGGAAAAACATGCCAATCACAATCTTCTCTTGGAATGGTGCCACAAACGTCATGTTGGGCCGGAACATGTAGACAATTCCCAGACACAGGAAGAACAGGCAGCCTGGAAGAAGGAAGAACAGACCAAATTCATACAATAGCACGGTACTGTCTGCATTTAGGGCTATCATCCGGTATTGCATGTATTCATTTAAACTGTCAGATTCAATTCTATGACCAGTACAACTTCTCATTTTGCTACCCTTATAGATTTGCATCCATTCTCGACTGCAGTGCTAACAGCTTAGAGTGACCTCTAAGGAAAAAGTGTGCTGTGGCTGTTAAGCGTTCAGTGGTGTTGGTGGACTAACAGATGGCACTCTTCATTCTTCCCCCAAATCAATGCAGCAGCATTGAGACTGGGAAACTTCTGTAGCTGGTGGCATTCTTTGGATGAAACATTAAGTTGAGGTCCCAAATAATTGACCATTAAAGATCACATAGCACTCTTTGAAAGAGAAGGGGTTTTAACTCAAGTGCCCTGGTTAAATTCCACTTGGTGTGGTGCAATCTAGTTTTCTGAAAGCTCGATTTAATTTAGTTGAAGTAATTCTCCACTGCTCCACCTACACAAAACAACGGCTATTGGGAACTACACTTCAGTAGCAGATGAAGTGGGTCCCTTCTTATATGTAAAGTGCTTTGGGATCTTCAGATCGCCTTACAAATAGAATTAATTATCCAACTGTGTAAGTATTTGAAACGTTCCACTCAACACCACATTGTATGGCTGTTGGTTTACCCGGTGTGTTCCTATAACCCTGTCCTAGTTGTAATGAAACGATGCGAATGAACACAAGTCTTTTTGAAATGCATACAGAAATAAGTAAGTTGTTAGTTATTCACTTGTTTAACACCACAGTGCTAGAGAAATAAACATTTATCTTTCGATGCCCATGTATTCTCCAATTGTTAGTATGATGTAATTTCAATAGCATAACATTCATACAATTAAATAAAAAATTGTCTCTCAAACTATTAAAAAACCATAAGCCACCAACTGATAATCTAACGATACTGTAACTCCAAAAAGGCTGCTGTCTGCTCTGATTGTTCTTTTTTTTCTAAATCCAGGAACTGACAGAAACGTGATGCTGCTGATAAACTGAATCCAGTGCAAATGACACTGGAATACAGCAGCAGGATCAAATGAAAAGCCTGATCTGGTCTCTATCAAGATGAAATGAAACAGTGAAATCAAACTCTACTGTTCTGACGAAGCAGACGAAACTCAAGGACACTGCCACACTACACCTGGAGTGCGCCAGACAGGAACTCACCAGGGCGCTTAATAACTATTGGCTGTGGAATTATGAAATAAAAAATATTTCACAATTAACTGGAAGATTCTATATTGACTCAATGCATCATACCCGCAGTCAGCTAGCAAATAAAGATATAAAAAGGATTAATGGAGTCAATGATCTTAGTTGTGAAACGTTTAATCTTTTAGTATCTTAATCAAGAAAAACAGCATATGGAAACAGCTAAGAGTCAATTATTTCAAAAGTAAATATGAAGTTGTAATACGAAGAATTATCCAAATTACTGGATTTGTATTTCTTTAAGTAAACCTAACATACTTCAATCTTATAATGTATGCAATTTTATTTCACTTCAAGGAAAGTTTATTCAAATCTAATGCACTACCAAAACACTGCAGTGTATGTTAATTCAATAGGGAATAAATGAATAAAGTCTATATACA